TTCCTCTTCCGGATGTGCTCCAGATCTATCTCCCTCTCCCTTGCCATGGTAATCATAGAGTCCAAGGTAGGGCAAGATGAAAAACTGACATGCTCCCGAATATCAGCTCATAGCATGTCATGATAGTGGGTCCTCCTCATATCCTCATCACCTGAGTAATAGGGCACCAGTAACGCCCTCTCTCGGAATTTAGCGGTGATCTCCGCCACAGTCTCCGTCGTCTGTTTCATATCCAAGAACTCCCTGGCCAGCTGCTGAAGCTCGACAGCCGGCGCGAACTCTGCCCTGAACCTGGTCGCGAAGTCCGACCAAGTTATAGCCTCGATAGCTGAGGCTCCCAACGAGTCACTCACGGACTCCCACCAATCCCTAGCTTGATCTCGTAAACACCTCGCTGCGAACCTCGCCTTCGACCCGTCAGGGCAGAAGCTAATCATCTGTGCAAACTCAATGTCTGCAATCCATCGTCTGGCGGCTATGGGGTCCTTCGCCCCGTGAAAATCTGGCGCACCACTGCCCCGGAAGTCCTTGAAGGACAGTGTGCGGGGTCCCGACTGGGCTAGATGCCATGTCGCTCCTGAATGCCCGGAGGCGATCCTCCATCAACTCCAATATCCCTTCCTTGATCGACCCGAAGATAATAGGGGTCGACTCAAGGATGCCTCTGGTGATCTCCGACGCGATGAACTCGCGTAGCCCTTCATCTACTGGCTCGGAACCTGATCCCGAACCCGATCCCTCTCCTGTACTGCCAACTGCTGGCCTCGAGCATAACACCACCATTCTGAAACACATAAATAATAAATGTTAGCGATACTGATATCTTTGGAGGAATTGCACCTACTACAAGTTTCCTGGTCTTATCTCGGCCTTTCTCAGTTTGGGTATGGATCCTCTGCTTTCAGTAGTACGGGCCCATACTACCTTCCACATCTATCCGTACCTTCTCCAAGACGGCCTTGATTCCACCAGGTCCCTATCACTACCACTGGTCACCGCTATACTCATCCTAGGCTTGCCCCAGGAAAATCTCTAACTCCACTCGACCTGGTCCTCAGCTGCTGAAGGCCTCCTTGTAATGCTAGTTAGCCATTACCTGAATACCATCACATGTGATGAGGCTCAGATAATCCTTTGAGTAAAAGATTCATCCCTATAACGGTTAGACTCAAATGAGAGCTGCACAATAGGGCCAACTCCAGCACTCTAAGATTATTCAACCCTGATCACATGTGACGTGACGTATTCACCTAACGGCTAACTCCCATTACTCAGAATCCCACAAAGCACAAAGCAAGCAGCATTCAGACAAAAGGGAACAATCTCACGCAAATCTGTTTTTATAGACAGAAACTAAACTAGCATACAATGCTAAACTCATACTATCAGGCATAACCTTACAGGCTATCCTACTACTGTCTACTCAATTCTAGCATGCAATTTTCATACACCGAAGCACATAAGGCATCACTCCTAGGTCTTTAGTTCTATTCTAGCATGCTGTTCTACTGAAACTGATAAACATAGCATAAGCTTGTATGGGTACTTTGGGGGATTACTTACTTGAGCTCGACCGGTCGCGCACATCATACTCTTTGTTCTTTCTTAAAACCCCTTACTTAGCCTTTTTGAAAACATTTTCTCTTTCTAAAATCTCTTAATCCCTCGATTTGAGTTCAAACACCCCCGAAGGTGTGTCCGAATCCCTCAAACCAGGGCTTTGATACCAACTTGTAACATCCCAAAAATATGAGCCAAAAATTTCATTTTTAAAACATTTATTTAAGAAAACATTAGAAATAAAACATTCAACGCTCATATCATTTCACAAAGATGTTGCATGTCTGGAAAACATTTTTATAAAACATAATAGTGTCAGAGTACAAATCCCCAGGAAGATCTCATAATGCGGAATACAAGGCATGTGTGTGATGTACCGCTACGCGCCAGCTCTTTCCCCCTTCGAAGAAGAGGTACCTGAAACCAAAACTGAAAACTGTAAGCACGAAGCTTAGTGAGTTCCCCCACTGTCCCACATACCATAAAATCACATAACATACAAATACTGCCAGGCATATCTGGGTGCCCGACCTATCCCTTCGGTCCTTGCAACCGGACACTGCCGGGCATATCTGGGTACCCGACCTACCCCTTAGGTCCTTGCGACCGGATTCTACCAGGCATATCTGGGTGCCCGACCTACCCTTTCGCTCCTTACGACCGAATACTGGGGACTATTTCACCCCCTACTGCTACCACATAACATATATCACATAACATCATATCATACTAGCACATAACATAACACAGGTAGTAGTAACCCTAGATGACTATCACAGAGACCATCATCCATCATACAACTCCTACTGGTGGGCCGGCATTGTGGCCGTAGACCCACCGCTACTGGAAGGTAACTCACCTCAAAGTAGTTGCTGATCTGCATAGGAACTGACTGTCTACTGCTGCCGCTCCGGAAATCCTCCAGCTATAATTCCCACAAATCCCTTAGTCAAATATTGCTAACCGACCTCAGGGTAAAATGACCATTTACCCCTTACCAATAAAGAGTCAAGTCAAAGTCAACTGTCAATTGGCCCGACTCGCCAAGTTGACTTGCCAACTCGCCGAGTCCCTATCCTTTTGTCAGGCCCTAAACCCATCTCTACTCGTCGAGTTAAGCATTGACTCGATGAGTTCTCCTTCTAAACTATAGGCCAATAGTCCTTCATCCTACTCGCCGAGTTGTATGAACAACTCGCCGAGTTCTTCTTCATCCGAAGAACACTCTATGCTGAGACTCGCTGAGCTGTATGAACAACTCGCCGAGTTTGTTCTTGAGGCAAGAAGATTGCCTTGAACCCGCCGAGTCATGGCATTGACTCGCTGAGTTACTGCATGAGTGAGTCTGACTTCCGACCCACTGAGTCACACCCCCATGACTCACCACTCTAACCCGCAATACAAAAAAGGGGAAAAACCCGGGACTCGCGACTCGACTCGCCGAGTCAGATGAACGACTCGCAGAGTCTGCCACATGCAAATACTATACACGCGATTCTGCTTGAATCCAGCTCATGCCATTCATAGATCTGGGTTTCTAGGGCCTGATTAACACGTAAAGTTTCCAACTTTATGTGTAAATAAACACCCATGAGGGTTTTAGGGCTCAAAATGCACCAAAAGAGTAGATCTAGGGCTTTCATGCAATATGACTCCATAAAGGCAGTAGATCCAAGCTCCTAGAGCTCAATCATGCCTAGATCTAAAGGCTAAACAACTTATTACGAACCCTAAAACACAAACAAGCTTGGGAAAAGGCTCAAGAAAGACTTTCATGGAGCTACAAGGGACAATAAGCATGAAAACAGAAGGAAACAGAGTTATACCTCAAGGAAATCATTGAGATAACACAAATATGCCTGGCCTCCTTCTTCTCTTCTTGATCTACTCTCCTTCCCTCTCCAAATCTTCAAGAAAACACACCAAAATGCTTCAATCTCACAAGGAACAAGGCTTGAACGAAGAAAAAGGCTCTGAGGGTGAAGGGGGCGAGCTTAGGGGCGGATAAGAGGGTTTAAATAGGGTGCAAACCCTTGAAATTTAGGGTTTCATCAGACAGCGGGGACTCGCCGAGTCCAGAATATGGACTCGCCGAGTCGCCAACTTAAACGTGCTCTGGATCCCGACCCTACTTGGCGAGTCGGACCTACAACTCGCCGAGTCCAAGGCTAAAAATGAAAAACACTAAGATAAATTTTACGTATCAGGAACCAGGTGCTACACTTTTATTTATTGTAATTAATTTGGGATTACGTTGTTTAAAAAGGGTCAAGCACACCTCCTAACTTAACTAAAACGATTGATATTTATGGATATAAGTATATTTCGATAAAACAATTTGATAGACATGTATACCCTGTAAAACATTTAAAATAGTGAAATTGAGGCTGTGAACTCACCCTAGTCGTGTGGAACCGTTGATGTAGGGTTGAATCGTACTCGGGACTCCGGGGACCACTCCAAGGGCAACAACTTCGAGAATATCAGAGAGAGTGATGTTTTGAAGGGGTGATAAATAAGTTTTGCATTGTCTTATATTTATATTTACTAGGTTCACTAAAGGGTTCAACCACGTGTTCATTAGGGTTTCCATGGTTGGTTCATAAGCAGGTTAAACATCAGGTTCACTAGAGGGTTCTATGCTTGGTTTAGAAACATAAATAGTAAGAGTTTCCACAATACGTTTTTAACTATAAGACTCTTGTCGATACTAACTTCATTTACTGAAACACGGGGAGGTTCAGTAGCACCATCCATATGGTTGTGTCAATCCACTCCATAAAACAATCTTATAGAACAAGAAGAGGGTTCAACCAACTCTTTTATCACAATTTTTAATGGGTTAAGTGACATGACGTAGGTATGGAAACTGGTATGCCATTTTTTTTAATCTTCTATTAACTTGTGTTTGACTATGCATGACTTAAACGGTTTATATCTTGGTCATTACCCAATGCAAACAACCTAAAATCCAAATCACCTAATGGCCATTTAAAGTGATAATACCTAAGCTTACCCTATTTAACAAACTCCAAATCTCCCATGGTTTCATTAATGACAGAGATTTGAAATAAGTTAATATTAAGCAAATCCACATATTTTCACTTACCATTAATGTATTTTCTCCTAGGAAAGTTAGTAAACTCTCATCCACAGTGTATCAAAAGAAAAAAAGAAAAGGAATTACAACAACGTTTACACATAACATGAAATTACGAAAATACCCCTACCCGCTAGGCACATGGAGTACTTAAATGGATAAAACAAATGATTAACATCGATATGGAGTAAACGGGCAACATTCATATGTATAACTGATGATTTGAATTAATTATTAAAAAATAGATACTTAGCTAATAAAATGTTTAACAAGAAGATGGACAATTTTATTCCAAACATATAACAACCGCGATCAATAATAACAATAAAAAAAAAATATTGAAAAATCAAAAATAGAACTTCAACCATGTGTAAATCGTGTAATTTTCTCTTTTATATTTAAGGTTGTATGAAATAGAGCAAACATAATTCCCAATCTCCCCCTCCTACCGTAACACCTTCCCATTTTGAAATACAACCCTCCTCCACGGCTCGACTGCTAACCCCAGTTTCCTCGCTACTGAACTGGTGAGTTCTCTCCCTCAAAATCACACAAAAATTTGTCTTCACTTCTTTCCACAGCAGTAGTATTCGTTTTTCCCCTTTTTATATATCTCCAAGCGTCATTAAATATCAGTAATTCGTTCTATTTTTTGCTTTTCGTTTATGGTTTCAGGAATTTGTTGCTCCAAATTGCGTCACATTCTTCGTTTGTGAGTTGAGGTATTAACCTACATCCTGTCTTCAATTCTTCAAATTAACACAGATCAAGCTTCGGTTTCGTGTTTGATTTGTTAACCCTAACAAATAGAAACTTCTTCCCATTTTTCAAGAAATTCAACTGGAAATTTGTAGATTTACTACTTAGTGTTTTTCAATTCCAACAAAAGGTCTAAATCAAAGGGTTAATTAGTTACCAAATTCAACTTTAGGACCGTGATTCCAACTCTGGTGTTCGTAGCGGATTTGTCGATTCTCACGTATATCTTTAGATTTTAGAAACACAAATTGATTGTTCTCTTTCTCCCTCGTGTTACTTCCCAGAGTAAAGAGCCATGAATGCCCCTGATCGTTATGAGCGCTTTGTGGTTCCTGAAGGCACAAAGAAGTAAACTTCTCTCTGTGTTTGTCCATATTTTCATACATATAATGATGAAATGTCACATTGATTATTGCACTCTTTATGCTCACTGTGTTTTCTTTGACAAACGAATGAATTCCTAGGGTTTCCTATGAAAGGGACACAAAGATCATAAATGCAGCTTCCTTCACTATAGAAAGAGAAGATCATACTATTGGAAACATCGTTCGCATGTAAGATATCTTCTAAATCATACACTTTAATCCTCTAATTAAAAACTCCTATATAAATCTATATCATATGAACAGGCAGCTGCATAGGGATGGGAATGTTCTGTTTGCTGGTTACAAGCTTCCTCACCCTCTTCAGTACAAAATCATTGTTCGGGTTCACACAAGTAGCCAGTCTTCACCAATGCAGGCTTATAATCTAGCCATCAATGATCTGGACAAAGAACTTGATCATCTGAAGGCTGCATTTGAGGTATTTCTTTCTTTTTTATTCTTTCTTTTACATATAAATTAAATAGCACAAACTTTTACCTTCATTTACATTTGCATTTGGATGAATTTGGGATTAGCCATTCTTAACAAATATATGCTTTTAGATGCAATTTGAAATAAATGCTCACCAAATGGTTTTCTTACTATCTAGGTGTAGTGTAATTTTAAAAATTGTTTTCTTTTATATATAAGCTGTGAAAAATTATATTAGTGTTTGTCACTACAGAAAATAGTTAAGTGACTAAATGCAAGAGATAGCAAATTATTTATGTCTACTTGTGTATTATAGCATTTTATGGGTTATGGCCCAAATACCCGCAACTAATTTTTGTTTCAATGTTTCTTAGGAAAATTAAAGTTTTCAAGTTTACAAATGCTTGTTTTTTCTTCTATTTTTTTTTTATAAATAAATCGTCTTTTTCATTTCTTTCATCTCCTATATTTTGTAGGCGGAGGTTGCAAGGGTTTCTGGGGAGTACTAATTGGGTTGATGGCATATAAGCTATCTTATTTTGGTATGTTACTTTGATGTTAACTGCAAGAAATTGGTGTTTTTCTTTTGTCAATTTGCCCTATGTAGGATGTAAGTCAGAAAGTGGTATTGTTTTGGTGTCAATAGTGAATGCCTTTATGTGCAAAAAGTTTAAAACTTGTAACTTTTCCTTTTGATCTATTGATGCCAATATGTGCTTTAAAGGATGTGTTTGTTACATGGGATGCAACTAAGCTTTCTAGGGCTACATTTAGTGATAATTTGCATAGGTGATGTCTCATCTTTTTGGGTGGGACAAAAAATCAACAATTTTTGTCTCATTGATATCGGTCTGAGTATGCTACTTGAAACTTTCACCTAAATTTCAACTCGAATCTTGCATTCTTCATTGCTACTTTACAATAATGCACGAGAGCTATATTTCCTAACTAATTTTTACATAATGGAGAATTCTTCGTGCAATCCTTGAAGTTTCCCTCTAAGTTTATGTTGTTGAATAATCAAAACTGAGGCCGTGGTTGAGAAATCCGGAGCCGAAAGAATGTCCCCGATTGGACCTAACTCTGGGCAAACCTCCCAATCATTCATACCCGCAGTTAATGTTGAGTTAACCCTTTCTCCTCTTCCCACAATAAATAAACTATATTCACCCTCTAATGACTTGATAGTTGAATACGTCTCACCGGAATTCAAAAGATACTTTTCCATATACGCAACATGTCCTGTTGCCACATGCCGATCGTAAAACTCTGCAAAGTACTCGTCATCTTCCTTCATTTCTTCCTCGTATTCCACAGTGTTGGCTCGGGACCTTGTGATCCTTGATGATGTGTTGCTTCCGCTGGTGTCCAATACAAATCGTATGACGGTGAGTTTCACTCCCGAGTGTCGTGCCACTCGACCTGCGTAAGCAAGTGCTTCGCGATCGTCTTTGCCTGCGATGAAAATGATTGCGGTTTTGATACATTGGGTTCCTCCTGTTAGTTGGTTTGACCCGAGACCTCGGTCCACTAAAACTCCAACCGAACAAGGTGCATACCGTAAAACCTACATGAAATGAGTAACCTTTTCATGTCATTATTCCAATTCTTTAAGCAATGTGTACAAATAAATATGTAACGAGGCATACAAATACATACATACTTTTTATGCATTAGAAACATTCTACATTGTATAACGAGACACAATGTGCCTAATGTATGAGAACACACTAATAGGTATCATACGTATTGTATGATACATATTAATACGTATCATGCAAATTGTATGCATTAGGCACGTTCGTGCTTGTGCTTGTAATTGTTAGGAACATTATATAGAGAAGATATGGTATTAGTACCTTTCTATTGACACAATAATTATTAGGAACATTATGTAGAGATATTGTATTATTACCTTTCTATTGACACTTCGAAACGCCAAATGGTTGGCATTGAACTTGCCATCTGGTTGTTGGTTCTTATGGAATGGGAGGATGATTAACGAAACCGACATATCCTCTGCGAGTGTGCAAATTTCGTGATGCATTGTGGCCATTGGACATAGTGTAAGCGTTCTTTGTACATCAATCCCTTCACAATGGTCGTTTACATAAGCTTGTATTGTGTTGGTGATGTTTTCTCTCATCTCTATAACACCCGCATCTGTTATAGTCATCGCGTCCACTCCTTCTCCACGTGCCACCGTGGAAGCTACCGTTTCAGTTAACTCGATTAGATCATTCACGTAAACTGTCATTTGGGGTTCTTCCGGCCCTTGTGAGATCTCCATGAAGTTAATGGTTGATTGAATGTTTTCGAGGCCATGAATGCATAATACTATTCGCAACTCATTTGATGGATTGAGCCATTGGAGGGCCATACGTTGTGTTGGTGACCGCTTTCTTGCACGGCTGATGATGCTCTTGACAACCATAGGGGCGTAGATGAATGTGAGGAAGCAAACCAATACAATAGCACTGCTATTTGAGGAACTAGATATATTTCTCTACATAAGCAATGAAGATATGGAATGCATGTCAAGACAAAGTTTTAATCATTTTAATTGTTATCTACAAAATTCCGTTTAAGAAAACACCAAAGATTCAAACTTACTTGCTCGGCTAAGAGAGCCATGAAGATGTGGAAGTGACCCTTGATACCTAGAAGTAACCCTACTGCGACCGAATCCTGCCAATGAAACCCTAACATGATCCCAGAAATAATACTGCCGAAAACTTTTCCACCTACTATGATTGCAAAGAGAAAAGCTATGCTAGCCCACGTGAACAAGTTATGACTTTCGAATTCGGAGAAGTCAACTTGAAAACCAACCCAAACCATGAATACCGGAAAGAACAATAGTCCAAAAAAGTACTTAACTTTACCGGTCAACAACTTCGATAGCCTCCCATCACGAGGCATCACGATTCCGGCCAAAAACGTACTTAGCATCATGTTGAAATGTGCTATCCATGGCGAAAGACTGCAAACGAATACAAGACTAGCTATTGAGACAATCAAGTGTGGACCCTTCATTAATTTCCCTTGTGGGTTATGACTATCCACCCATGTCATAAGAAAGGGTATACATTTAGCTGCGAGAATCGTCTGAATGACAAGAACTGCAAGAATAAGAAGTATATCTCTAACTTTTCGAAAAGCAAAATCATCCAACGGATCGAAAACTATGTACCCTAGGGTTAGCACAATAATGGAAATAAGATCGGATATGACAGCAGTCGAAATCAAGAACCGCCCTATATCAGATTTCCCAATCTTGAGGTCGTTGATGATACGTGTGAGGAGGGGGGAGGCGGTTCCCGATAAAACAAGCGAGATCGTGACATCAAACGCAATACTAGGCTCGTAACTTAAATGTAACATCGGGGTTATGAAAAGTGATAGTAGAAAGGTAATTAGTAACCCTGTACATGCCACTTTGGCTTCACGAATGGGTATCCGAACAAATATGTTAGGATCTATCTCAAGACCTATAACAAACATGTGGCAAATCATCCCGAACTCTGCTACATAACCGAGGGCCGTATTTGCGTCATCGTTGAAGTTCTTACGTAGAAAGGGTAGGTTGCTCAAAAAGAATCCTACCTACATCCAAAAAAAATGTTATTGCAATAAATTACAATAATAGAAAGCATGAATGTAAATATACATTTGAATTAATCGAAATTATAAACATTTGGGCTGTTTTTTTAGACTTAATACCATTTAATCTGAACAACAATTTACTTAATATGTAAAGAATGACTCAAGGGATTAAGTGAAAAAGACTTGCTTAATGTGTTAAGATTCTAACCTTTTGACTATATTCTCTTCTTTTTTCCTTCCAAATCCTCTTATATTAAAATCGATGAATATTATAAAATTTGCTTTTAGGTTTGTAAGGGTAAAATGTTATATCAACTCGTTGGGACACTTATCACTTTGCCCATACAAACATCATTATTCATTAGTAGTTCATCCACTTCATTCATGCATGGGAAAAAAAGATACTCCTTAGTTGATTTAATGAACAAAAACAACACCAACACTAAATCATTAAAGGTTGGATAAACATTCAAACACCCGGAAGTCGAAAAACTACAACAATATACAAAAACTCATTTATAAACATATGTTTATGTTTTTAACTAATTTGGTTTTTAGAGATGCCCAAAAGACATAAAGATGATGAAAACAAATACAAACGAGAAAGACACAAGAGAGACATTACAATGGCTTCGGAAATGATGCGGGGTTGGGAGTATGGGCGTAAGAGCATGTGCAATACACTGCACAATGCCAACGTGATGATAAAAATCAACATATTGAATGCGATATTGGCCACTTTCATGACCGTTACTTGGGTGCATCGTGGGTCGTTTGTTGTACGATCTTCTGTGTCCATATTTGATATTTTGACTCCAAATTTGATCGAAATAGCACATATTATCACACTTTTCTTGAATCCATCGAATTGATCCCAAAAAGATTCTTGAAACAAGATGAAAACGATTGAAATTGAAGGGTAAGATTGGATTGGAAGAAGTTAGGGCCATGATGAAATTGAAAATAGGAAGAGAGAGTGATGGCCTCATGAATGATAAATATGAGAGAATCTTGGGAAGAGAGTGAAGCTCCATGTTTTTCTATAATTCTATGTGTTATTAGTAACTTAGATTCTAAATAAGACCATCTTTTGCTTTTACATCGGATGAGCCACTACTTTTTTTGAAATTATTTTAGTAGACTATTGTTTTTAATAATACTACCCATCGATATAATCTTTATTGTTAAATTTCCGTATTTATGTAGTGGTCATTTAACTTTAAGATTTATGTATTTTTCATTTATTTTTTTGTAAAATATTTTAATAAATTAAATTTACATTATTGTATAATCTATATGTAGAGTTTAATGGAACAGAATTGAGTCTATTTGACAACCGATACAAAATCTAGAATTCTATTCCATTGAATTCCATATTAACCCATGTACCAAACGGACTTTTAGTTATTTTAATGATAGGTTTCTAATCAAGTAGTGTCACTCCTTATATTCATCAGCAACGTGAGTCGTATTTTGATCTTATGATTGGACGTGAACTTGTTATTACTATGCTTTCATTGTTGGTGCCTTTTATAGCTTTTCTTGAAGGATTTTTTTTAATGGGGAACTTATATTGAGGAGGAACATCTACTAAAGAAGTGAATGAGTGTTATAGTGGTTGACTTTATACTAATCCAATAACCATTTAAAGGGTGTTTGGCTAAGTTTATTTTTTTAGAACGGCTGAATAGCTAGATAAGGGTTATTAAGCCAATCAACCCATCTAGCAGAAATTTTCGAGTTTCTAAAAACGAACCAATTAAACGTAAAATCAACAATGTTGTAAAAAATCTCATCCCGTCTTGACACCAACTCTCCAAACATTAGGTCATTATGAAACCGCCAAATCCTCTAAAGAACCACAAAGAGAATAGCCTCCGCCATGCTCATTTTCTTGGCACCTTCTGAAAACGAGTCAATCCAATTAAAAATGTCATCCATTGCCCTCCGAATCGGTTGAACAATATCAAGCCAACAAAAAATCTTTTTCCAAATACTCACCGCAAGCTCATAGGAAACAAAAACATGATCCGAAGCTTCCACTGAAGAAGAGCAAATCAGGCATAACAAAGAAGCCAATCCAACCCCTTTACGACTTAAATTCCATCTCGTAGGAAGGCGATCCAACAACGCATGCCACACAAATATATTAACCTTCCTAGGGATGTATGGATTCCATCTAGTGGGA